CGACCCAAAACATCGTTCAAAGCATTCACAGGCCTGGTTTCGGACCCAAAATCTGACATTATTAGATTGGCCAAGCTATAGCCCTGACCTAAATCCAATAGAAAATGTTTGGGGACTTAGGAAGGAAAGTGACAAATATTGCTGAAATGAAAAAGAGGTGGTCCGATATTGGGACAGCATGGACCACGACTTTCTAACTTCTTTGATCAGTAGTATGCCCCGCCGCATTGAAGCCTGCATTGCTGCCCATGGTGACTTGACAAAATACTAACTTCTCACCTGTCTTTGAATCCGGAGTTATGTTCTCCTAATATTCACATTTAATACGTGAGTAATGAGTGAAAAAAATGAAAAAAATACAATCTTTAAATTCTCAATAATTTCTGGTTGTACTGTATGTATGTCAATGCAATATGTCTCTTAATTTAAAAATCATAATTCATTACATGAATTGATAAAACTATAGTTAATACCTAATGTTGTCTTTTTTTATCTGGGCACATACCATTATTATCAAGCGTACAGCTTAATTAAGCCTTATGCAACGAACCATAAAATGTGTTGTTTTAAGCGGTCTGTCTTTTGGGAGGTCTGTCTTATGGGAAGATACCCATCCAAGCAGAGTTTTGAACTGATACCTTAACCAGTACACATGTATAGTGATTGGTGAATGTGTATTTCTGATTTGCTAAGTTTCAATTTCTGTGTACGATTTTCACCTAACGATCACAACTTAATCTATGTTGTAACGTTACAGCATATATCCAAGGTGATCGGATCCCCAGTACAGGAGAATGGGTATACTGGGAAGAAGGGACTACAAGGCCCATGCCGTTCATTGATTGGGCACCTGGTCAGCCAAATGGGGCTACGGTAGGACAGGACTGCATGGCCATGGACGCAGCGGGTCAGCATGATATTCCATGCTACTGGTCAGGATTCGCTTCGCTTTCACTCTGCGAATATGATATGGAGTAACCATTTTCATACACGCTGCTAGGATTTGTTGAAAGGGTACTGTCTCGTCCATTGTCTGTTTCGCTATTTCTACAATACATAAATTGGTACTATTTTGTAAGAGAATCGCTTATGTGCATGGGATCAAGATGTTGATGAAGTAGTTATTCTGATTAAAACAACGTGTGGCACAACATCTGAAAGAACTGTTAGACTAACATATGCCTACCATTCACCTGGTGACGGAGCAAGTATACACGCCGAAATGTCGTGTTATTCACAATAAAGACTGACTGACTGACTGAGTTTGGTTTTACGCCGCTTTTAGCAATATTCCAGCAACAAGACGACGGGGAACTACAGAAATGGGCTTCACACATTGTACCCATGTGGGGATTCGAACCCGGGTCATCGGCGTGACGAGCCAACGGTTCAACCACTAGGCTACCTCACCGCCCCTCACAATAAAGAAGTTGACATCCATAAATCTTTCTTTTCTTATGCATTCCACTTCTAAATGCCCTTCAAAGAATTAACATATGGCTTGTTTTAAAAAGTACCTGTTTTAATCAATGATGCTGGCGTGCTGACTGTTAGAAATTATTGCAACTATTGTATTGAAGCATGATATATCGTCCCGTATACCACCAGCTATTACTTGTCACCTTTCTTGTAAGAATTAATTGTAGTTTTTAGTGAATGATTTCATGTACCTCAGTCATATTGGCAGTATTTCATACATATCATGAATATCGTAGTTAAGAAAATAGTTTGTTGGCTGTTTTATTTCTAGTTTCATTGAGCTACATAACGACGCAAATGTGGGCATACGGACAATATTTTTTCAACGTTTTTTGTTAATTGTAATTTAAAGTCACATCAAAGGTAATCTTAGACATGCAAGCTCTTATCCACGAGATACTTATCAATACACATGATTGAAACAAACTGAAGCCGAGATCCTGTATTGAGGTGGCCGATACCTTCTTGAAAATGCAATGCGAGCCCTACCTTACAAAGACATAAGTTGCAAAGGTTTGGATGTGAAAGATTTGAAAGTTCAGAATCATTAGTTCTCTTCTCTAAGGTCAGTAATTATGGCTAAAGAATCGATAAGTTGGTTTCTAACATTACTTCAGACTTTTGAAAGTCAGCATTTAAAGCTTTATTTTTAGAGATTCTTTCTAGAAGCCGACCACACATCTTAATACAAAAACGATTAATTAGGTCCAATTAGGTTTGCCCTTTAGGCATTAGATTTGCCATTATACTAGTACACTACATTCTACGCTTTGAGGGCCTCTTCAGAGGCTGTACAGGATTTCGCACTTGTTTTCGTTTATAAAACCTAGATATTTAGATATTGTTATGAGAATGCTTGTTATTTGTAGTTATATACCTTCCTGTTTAACTGATGCGTGAGTTGTTGAGATGGCACACGACGAAAAGTTTGCTATAAATACGTTCCCTCACTGCCGGCATCCACATATAACGTAATCATCTGTTCCAAGGTGGGTCAGTAGAAAACAAATTGTCGTAAATTGATTCACTACTGAACAAGGACTTGTTGTCATTTTATTCATGATATTTATTGTTTTGTTACATGTTTAGGACAAACAATTGCTTCTGAAATGTAGAGTAAAAACATTGTAGCTGACATGGGTGTATACATCTGAATAAAAGTTGCTATCATCATTAATTCTGTTTGAAGAGTTATTAAGTAAATATCGATAACAGGAGTATCACAAAAACATGAAACAAATAGTTTTTTTATAACTACAGATTGAATGTACCTTGCTGTAATTTACTTCGCATAATGCATCATCAACACTGAGCCTCATGTATTGTATGGAGAACATGTTTACTAAAGTGAGTGAGTGAGTGAGTGAGTTTAGTTTAACGCCGCACTCAGCAATATTCCAGCTATATTGCGGTTGTCTGTAAATAATCCAGTCCGGACCAGACAATCCAGTGATCAACAGCATGAGCATCGATGTGCGCAAGTGAGATACGATGGCATGTGTCAACCAAGCCAGCGAGCCTCACCACCCGATCCCGTTAGTCGCCTCTTACGACAAGCATTTAGTCGCCTCTTACGACAAGCATGGGTTACTGAAGATTAATTCTAAAGCCGTTCAGTTTTCCAAAATGGTTTTACAAAACCACATGACGGCCATATGCAAATATGATGTGATTCTCTTTCATGAATTGAGGAGTTACAAGTATGAACCCAGTTATTCCAAGGAACTGCTTCTTTCGTCATGCCTATTTATGCAGCCATGTCGAGAATCAGATCTGACCAGTTTGATCAAATTCAGATGTCATCAGTGGTTGGAACAATGTTGTTACAACATTCTCACACCGGTTACCTCATTTCTCTTTTCAGGATATCCTCATACACAACAGTTGTTGACTCTCGTCTGTTAAATACAGTGTTGTTTTATCTTTTATTTTTGACTCATAAATAACAATATGCTTCTGTTTACAACCGAGTCTGAGTGGCAATGATAAATCTTTTCCTCGACTTGCAAGTGCTCTTGCGCTTTGAGCATATGTTTGTTTGCTTTTAATGGAATCTAGCGCTATACAAAACTACATTATTATTATTTTTATTATTATTACTCTATTACTGTTGTGATTGGGAACTGTTTATGTTTCTTCGTCTTTGTCACATAAATCCCTCACTTTCCATCACCCTACTATAAGTAGCAATGTCCCAACCATATGGCAGCGGTCTGTAAATAATCGAGTCTGACTAGGGATCAACACCATGAGCATCGACTACGCAATTGGGATACGATGACAAGTGTCAACCACGTCAGCGAGCCTAACCACCCGATCCCGTCGCCTTCAGCATGGGAAGCTTGTATCTTGACCATGCCAAGTTTTAATTGCATAGTTGAGTTGAGTGTTACGTCACATCGGCATTATTCCAGCCATATAGCGACGAGACCAAGTCTGAATCCATACACATTTTATGTTCAAAGTCCAAATGAGTTTCTTGGGAAAAATATGTATTCATTACATTATCATTTACAAACAGAATATGCCACAGCACCAAATTCAAAAACAAGCAACCCGTCATTTACTTTAAGAACTGGTGCAGGTTTGGCACGATCAAATGAACTTCATGAGTGTGCGAGTCTTGGTTGATGTTGCTTTGAAAATATGTTTTAGATGAAGACAAGTTGATATAATTTGTGAGTTAACCCAATGTCATGAAGACCACAGAGGTGTACCAGTCTGTCACAACTCTCAGACATGCTGCTGAAAAACACTGCTTATAATCAGATTCAAATCACTGATCACAGGATAATGATTTACATTAAGAACCCAACTGTGCACCTGAGTAGTGCTTTAAAAGACGTACCAAAAATCAAACACAATGTCACTGATAATTCTAAACTTCTAACACATTGATGCCAACCTCTGCACACAGCTAGCAGGTATCCTTTACAGTTATTCATCTGAATATTTCGCTCCGAATAAAAATAAACCATTGTTATTTAAAAAGGGACATAAGCTCTGTGGTCGAGTGGATAGAGTGTCAGTAATTAGTTGGAGGTTCGATTCCTAGCTCATTAAAATATGGCGATTGTTGTTACCTTGCCTGACGCCTGATGCGCGCGCACACATTCGCACACACAAAAACACACACACCAACACTCGCATGCATGCACACACACTCAACAAATATATACAATAATGTCGAAATGGACGTTAAACGTCATTACACCTCTCTTCAAACATTACACATTTATGATAGAACAGAGTACATGTTGTAATGCATACAGGACCGATTGCATACCTCTGGAGTCAACCAGAGCAGAACAATGATATACACATCATCAATCAACGCGTGCACTCACGGAAGTCAAACTACAGTTATGGGAAGCTATAATCAATGAGTCGTTGGCGAGTTGCCTCAGGATCTAATTGATTTGTGGAATTTCAACACGCATCGCCTATTGGCTTCCAGAAGTTAGAGCAAGTGTACAAATGATGTCAGGATGATTAGAGTCCAATCGCATAATTTCAAAAGTCAGTAAGCATCCGTTTGTTTTGTTGATCCCACCAGAGGATTTAATCTGCAAGTTTAACATGGCTGCCGCTAAGATTGTGCTTGATCTTGTCCTGATTACAACCCTGCCTACCAATTACACTAAGGCTATAAAAGTGGGGAGTGTACTTGACTGTGCCCTTGAATGCATACGTAAGCCAAGGTGTGATGCCATGGCGTTCAGCGCTCCCCTACCGATGTGTTTTTTGTACCAGCAAAGCATTCAGGAAGACCCCTCGGCTACTTCAAATATGGACTTGTTGTTATACAACTTAAAGAGGGGCACCGAATGCAATGAAGTTTTTGCAAGGAGTCGCAAATCCAGTAAGTAAAAATGTATGCTTCCATGCTTGAGTTTTTAGTCGAAAAATATTTCGATACTGAATTAAATATTGACATATCATGATCGCTTTCATTGATACAAACGTTTTGTTTCCCTTTAATTTGTTTATGAACAAAACACCTCAACACCAGAGAATAATTGCTATTGTCCCAGGCGTAAAAAGCCACATCTATCACTCTCTTGACAATAGAACGGAAGTGGGTAGGGCAGGCTTAATTCGATTCAAAACTAAATTTGCACCATGTATCCATTTCTGATTTGCAAATTCTCGAACATTGTCGCTCGCCGTCAGGTGGATTTAAAACAAAGCGTTCGAAACGGAATCAAATTCTGAAATCATGAACCGGAACAGAATTGAGATCGAGGTGATTGTCGTCGCCTCTAGTTACAAGAAATATATACGTTAGTTAGGGAACCTAACAGAACAAGTAATCGTAGACATTCAGACAGTTTAGAATATCTGCACCATCTAGGAAACTGATAGACAAATAGACACTGTATCTGTATGTTTGCTGAAACTTATTCTCATATTCATATGTCTGAATTATGTATACTGAACCGCAAAAGAAACGATAGAAGTTTCTTGAAGCACACACTTTAATTCGCTCTTATTAACAATCAAAACGGAGGATTGCGTTTAACTTGACAATTATGGTTAACACATGGTCGGGAATCATATTTAGAGTTCACACAAACAGATTCACCAAAAATGGTCCCACTAAGATACCCCAAAGTCAGTATCGTGTTAGCCTCCATGGGCATAGATGACGGCGTTGCATGGTCTGTACATGGAATGAATTAGCCGGTTGTTGAAGTCCATAGGCACTTGGGTTCGTACTCTGCTTAATGCCTTATCGAGTCCAGCCGGAGTTGTCGGCCTTGGTTGAAGGTCCTTCAGTATTTTTGAATCTACTCTCAAAGGTGTTCTGTTGGACTGAGTGCAGGTCATTGAAGGGATTGGATGCCGTGTTCTTAGGAAGCCCAGTGTTGCCCTGGCAGTGTGGGCACGAGCGTTGTCTTGCTGGAAGATGTGATTCCTGCGACGTTCAAAATGTGGTACAAAGTGGGGTCTTATAACTTGGTCAGTATAACGAGCAGCTGTCACGCCATTTCTTCGTCCTGGACCGTGATTCTGGAACACCATGTGGCCAACTCTCTGGTTCAGATCGATTGCACCCCACACCATGATGCTTGGACCACCCCACGAGTCTCTTTCAACAATACATGCATTGGAAACCCTTCCCCATGACTTCGCCATACTCTCACTCTCCCACACAATATGGGCTTTCATCAGAAAAAAGCACAGTTCTCCATTCTCGATAAGGTCAAATTCTATGCTGAGTTGCCCATTGCAGTCGGTTTGGGCGGTATCGAGCGGTGAGGACAGGATCACGACAGGGCCTGTGACAGCAGAGGTTTCTTTCACACAAACGTCGACGCAATGTCTCGGCACTAATGGGTCTCTTGTGAGTGCCAGTGGTCTGTCGAGCTGTTTCTGTGGCTCTGGTGAAGCGATCCTGCAGATGATTGCGCACAATCTGTCGGTCTTGACGTTGTGATGTTACTGCGGGTCGTCCACTGCGTGGACGGTCTGGGATGCTGTTAGCGGCCTGATCGGTGGTCTGCAGTCTGTAGTTTGTCCTAACATGAACATTAAAGTGATTCGCTACCCTTCGTGCAGCCTGGCAAGCTTGCAATCGTCCCAGGGCTTGGTTCCTCTCATCTCTCGTAAGTCGTGGTATGGTGATTGTGTCAACACACGAATGATTTCAGGCGAGTTTGGGACTTTCATTGCTGACTGACTGGGTGAGTTTGGTTTTACGCAGCTTTTAGCAATATTCCAGCAACATCACGGCGGGGGACACCAGAAATGGGCTTCACATTGTACCCATGTGGGGATTCGAACCCAGGTCTTCGGCGTGACGAGCCAACCCTTTAACCACTAGGCTACCCCACCGCCCCACTTTCATTGCTAGGATTGTCGCGATATGCACGTGCATTTTCATTTTCACGAATGTCATACGGAACCTTTTACCACGTCTGTCTTTTAAGGTTCGTTTGGTCGATATGCTTTTTCATCAGAAAACACACTGATGTTGGTAACAACTGAAAAACATGTTAACAAAACGGTACAATCACAATAAAAGCACCACCTTGTAAGAACAAAATTTTGCATTTGGTTTTGAAATTTGCCTTTCTTTTGCGGTTCAGTATATATTAACTTGCTGCTGAAATGCAGAAATGCGTCCATGTCCATGATACGATGTGTGTCATTTACTTGAACCCATATGCTTGTATCCAAATTCGATATCCTTGATTCCATATCTTATATTCCATATTCGTGCTTCTAACCACCGACCAAAATAGCATCGTATCCCAATTCCATAGATCGATGCTCATGGTGTTGATCAATGGATTGTCTGGTCCAGATTCGATTGTTTCCATATACCTGGAATAGTGCTGAGTGTGGCGTTAAACAACAAACGAACAAACTGACTATAAAATACGCTTTGGAAATATTTACTCTGCCGCTTTACAGCTAGCATTAAGAAAGAGTGTAGGGTAATAAAACCCTATATATTTTTTACTTAGCCAGAAACAATACTTTCAGATATCATAACAAAAATGTCTTAGAGGCATATATTAAACAAAAGTCCAACATAAAGTTTCCAGAAGACGTTTAAGGGTTTCTGAATTCTCATATGTGGCAACAAAATTAATTAATGCTGAAGGACATTTGCTTCCATTTTACACTTTTTTAAATGAATCCCCAAACATAAAATATATTATGTATGTTAATACATGTTCTTATGAAATTGTTTTTCTTAACGCCCCAAAACGCGTTCAATAAATATATCACCTCTATAACCGCACAGTACTTCAAAGAAACATTCAGAAAACTATGGATACGTTCAACTGACAGTGCTCCTAAAACGTAAACTCATTTTTAACGCGAAAAACGGGTTATATGGGCTGTTTATAAGACTCTTACATTTGAAATGATGAAACGTTAAGAGTTTCTTCCTTGTTCCCTTGGTATTGCTGTATGGCATCATTGTGTTCCGATATTATGACGTCACACAGGCATTATCTTCAAGTCAGATACTATTTTACCAGTATGTCATCTTTTTCTTGCACAATTGCACCAAAACCTTAACTTCCAGGGAACCCAGTGTGCAATGTGAAGAAAGGCTACAACTACGAACCAGATATGGACGTGTGCTACAAATACCACTCCTCCGAGAAAGTTAAACACGCAGCGGCCAAGAATACATGTATCAACGAAGGAGGTTCCAATCTTCTCAAGGTCGACTCAGACAAGAAACAGGACTTCTTCAAAAAGCTCGTACCGTCAGGATCATTCGGTGAATATTAGTTCGGCATAGCGACGGGCGGTTGGGTAGTCTAGTGGTTAAAGCGCTCGCTCGTCACGCAGACGGCCCGGGTTTTTGATTCCCCACATGGGTACAATGTGTGAAGGCCATTTCCGGTGTCCCCCGCCGTGATATTGCTGGAATATTGCTAAAAGCGGCGTAAAACGATACTCACTCACTCACTCGGCATAGCTACTGTTTCTAGCACCTCTCAACTGTATATGAAAGCCATATGCAAACAATCATGATCATGGGACTCGTTCCTCGTTCCTCGTTCTGCTGTCAATCGCTCTTCAATGGGCTTCGGGTCAGGCTCGCTGACTTGGTTGACACGTCATCGGTTCCCAATTGCGCAGATCGATGCTTATGCTGTTGATCACTGGATTGTCTGGTCCAGACTCGAGTATTTACAGACAGCCGTCATATAGTTGGAATATTGCTTAGTGCGGCACATCCCACTCACTCACTCACTCAATGGGCTTCGCCGGGTGGCCCTCGGGGACCAAAAACTTTATGACAGCTCTGTACCCAAGCTTATCCATTTCTGTCGTTTCAATAGGGGTGCATGTGATTAGATGTCATGTGACCGGAAACATGTGCATGTCAATATTACGTTTATGTGAATGATATCATACAGTTATTTTTACCATGTACATATCAGAAGTACTTTAGGTTCAAAACTATTTGATAGCCCCTCGTATATGATATGAAAAGGTGGGTTTTTTTAACAAAAGATATATTATTTATTGATGTTTGTGTAACTGGCTGAACGTGGACCCGGATCCGTTCTGAAGAATTATGTTCTCTTAAATTGCAAATTCAAACTTTTCCTTTGTAGTTTTAATACAAATTATGTTGAAATGTATATTTTCATCACCAACAAGTGATGTACAGTTTGAGATGTCAACACAATAGAATGTCAGATGATCTAAACTGAGCACAAAAACACCTTCAAGGTATATTAGTCTGTTTCGTGTACCAGGAGTACGATGCAGTCTGTGAAGTCATATTGCCAGTGTTTGCATTATTATGATTTTATTGTGTCAGTTACCAATGACGTACTTGAGCACCTTTTACCTATTATTCAAAACTCTCCTTTCATTCTGTAAATTATATGAGAATAAAAGATGATGGAGTAGAAAGTTTTGTATCGAAAACTAAATAATGTTATGACATAAAAATGGTGACACGAGTCAATTCGCTCCCGCCATGGGTCTGTGTGTTTGTCTGTACGAAATTGACATTTTGCAGGAACACCCGACATCTTTCGATTAGTAAACGTTAATGGGCATCCTGTTTCATTATGGTGTGGCTGAATATAGGCGTTGTACTAATTGTCAAGGCAATGGAAGTAGGAAATAATTTTGAGAGTTTTCAGGGTCTCGCTTCGACTGATTAAAAATACGAAACAGTATTACTCCTTAATGAGGAGAGGCATAGTTGTACGACTCTATCGACTCTATTGGACAGACAACGTCCAACAACAGTCTACAATTCAGTTGTGATGAGGATTAACAATGATGATTAGCATCTTATAAGTAATGGAAATTAAGTGATTAAGGATTCATCGCTTGGAAATTAAATCTTTATTCACGAACGGTCTCTCTGACACATAATTATATATATTTATGTGGAGTATTGCCATGAAAAAACAAATTATTTATGAAGAAGATCGATATAAAGATCTTTGTATTTCGGAGAGACTGTTACCGACAAATGTATGGATAAAGACTTCTTGTATTTTAAGTGCAATGTTTCGGTACCATTTGTTGTACCGTTGTCTCGGGTTCGAATCCCCACATGGGTACAATTTGTGAAGCCCATTTCTGGTGTCCCCAGCCGGGATGTTGCTGGAATATTGCTTAAAGCGGCGTAAAACCAAATTCAGTCAGTCAGTCAGTCAGTGTACCGTTGTCTAGCAGGAATTTAACAAGAAGAGGAGAAATATATATACTGTACTTCCCAATTTCTAAAATGCCACTCAAAGAAGTTGGTATATTTTAGAAAATAATCTCTGCGCACACATAAAAATAAAATCTTGCTTTTGTGAAATGACCCGAAGAGCATTTTCATAAATTTTCATATCCTCCTTATGGAAACATACGACTATTAGTTTCTTGTGGCTGGAGATTTACTTCTTGTTATTACTGTTTTACAGCGTACATCCAAGGAGACCGGCACGACACAACGGGCGAATGGGTTTACTGGGAAGAGACAACTGCGGTAGTGATGTCGTACAATAACTGGGCGGCAGGTCAGCCAAACGGTGCACATAGGGGACAAGACTGTATTTCTATAGATCCTACTGGTCAGCATGACGCAAGCTGTCTCTTCACTAACTACTTCTTCTGTGAGAAATACATGTAACCGACCAATATATATTCTGGCCCCGAAACATAGGATTACTTCATGCTTATAAACATCAGCAAAAACTTGAAAATGTATGAGAACGTAATAATTATCTGCCGTGTTTTCATTAACGTTAAATAAAGCATTAGTTTCATGGAACTTTTAGAACTAGAACCGTTTCCTAAAACCCATGCTGGTCGTAAACATTGTATTAGCAAAATTTAGAAACAACAGTCCTCATGATTATGAGAACGTAATAATTTTATGTCATGTTTTCATAAACGTTATACAAACTAATTTCCTCTTTGGTTTTCATGGGACTTTTGAGCTAGAACCGTTCGCTGGAACCTTTGCTGGTCGTAAACCTTGTACTAGTAAAATTTCGATAACAACAGTCCTCATAACCTGTCTGATGTTCACCGGAACCTGTGCTGGTGTAAACTACGTTTGTCTTCGACTTCGTTCCCCTTACTCTGAATTTCGATCAGTATTTGCTTGCTGCCATCGTATAGATGGAATATTGCAGATTGCGGCCATAAACAACAAAAGTTATTTTGACATCGCCTATTGTGAAATAACGCCACTGAACTTTACTAGGACGCCATGTGTGTGTCACCATTGCACAACTTTATTTAACCGATGTGTTTACAATGTCGATGTTCACATTTACCCATCAGGATTTCAATCAGCAAGAGCTTATGAAGAAAGAGTAAAAATGTATTCTATTTCCAGGTAACGAATGCCAATAATACGACAAGTATTGCAAATTTATTATATGAGAATATGCTTCATCTGTTCAATATAATTATTGACAGGTTCAATTACTTTCACGTACCTTCCGAAATGTTTTCATGTTACCACGTGACTGAGGTCATATGGTGGATAGTCCTAAATTTAAGATTTGTCCTTTTTGTTGGTTTCACCTTCAGAAGACTTAAAATAACCCCTCGTATAAGCTGGTATTACAAACTACTTTCACCTAAGTAATGGTGTCTATTGATATCCCAGTCAGCGTGTCCCTGTTCCTCATTCGACATGTCACAACGACATATAAACTTCTTGTATAGCTGGAAGGTATGCTGTCAGCAACTGTCAACACGCCGTTTCTATGTGTTTTGACGAAGCCGTCATCCTCGGCATCAAGTCAGATTTAGAAGAACCTGCTTGTCTGATCAATATGAATCTCATCCAGAGGCAGGTATAAGAGAAACACGTTTCCTAGGAAGATAAGTCAGAACATCAATATCACAACAAATGAAAAGAAGAACGGTCGAACTCTCTGTGCAAACATCAACCTGCCAGACTGGAACGTAAAATATTGACAATTCGTACGCAGTGGTACCGGTGTTGTTGTAGGATGTTCTGTATTGTTTGTGTTTGGAGTTCGTACAATAGCTTCATTTGCTACCTAGTGATTTACAATAAAAGCATGGACATGTAAGTACGAAAGGATGCAAGCTGTACATAATTAATACTTATACAACGACAGACTGTATCGGGATGTTAGGAATGTTGGGTTTTGTTTTGTTGGTTGTGTTTCTCGTCAATAAATATTATCCATCAATGAGTTTTGTAATACTTTTTCCTACAGTACAGTTACATTTATCCTATACACTCCAACACGGTTGACAGGGTGGAGAAATTGAAAGACAACCTATCATAGACGTGTTGCATTAAAGTAGGAAGAGAACACTATCGAGATACACAAGTCCGTTAACATGTCATCACCGAAATCCGATAAGGAATATTCTCGCGCTTGCGTCTTCTGGACTCTTGTCTTATTTTAGTCTGACAACGCGAATGTTCCTTCAAATCATCTAGGGGTTCAAATCCTTTCCAGTCTGTACTCACTATACTCGTGGGGTTTTCCGCATATGCAGTAAACTTCGAAGACCTGCTGGCGTTCCTTCCGCATCAACTTGAAAATACGATCAAGGTATAACAATCTAACTTTACTGTCTGTATACGGAACTATCATATTTTGGTCTTCAGCAGTTATTGAAGAAAGTTCGAAAAAGGGAGTTCCTGCAAAAAAGATCAATAAATATCACGCTAGTTTCAGGGATATAGCGTAACATTTGTTGAGCATGTTTTGCGAGCTTCAAAACACGTTCTCTGAGCCACATTTTATCCTGGTTTTGGGTAACGTATAGCAAGTGTCTACTCACATCTAAAATCTAAACTTTCCTAGTGAAATGTATCTATCTAGCCAGTTGAACGAATACTGCATTGCATAGTATGTAGAGCAATTTCACATGTAGAAAGGTGGCCTCAAAGATGCATTTAGAAGATTCCCAAGTCCTCCAAAAGTCGACTAAATCCTCACATTCTATACACTGTTTTTTTTCAGTGTAATTGATTCAGAAGAATACTTCAGAATATATTTGATCTATTTGTACTAGTACCATACGTTCCCGAATTATTTCAGGTGAATAAATGACTAGACCTTTCATATGTTTATGACAGTTGCAGGATACGCTCACCTTTTCGCAAACACCTGGTATCATCACTATTTCATAGTGATTCATAACCATAGTGATTGTCATCGTATCGCATGGTGACAATCAGTGGATTGTCTGGTCCAGACTGGATTTGTTTACAAACAACATCGTACAGCTGTAATACCACTGAAACAAATATGATATTGTCACAATTGTACAATCGACTCTGCTTTAGCAGAAATTTCTTCTAGATGTGGAAAGGGTTTTGTCGCTTCTATTGACAGATATCAAATATATCACAATGTGAAAACACTTTTTACTCTATCTATCAATACAGATATGTTAAGAGATCTTCCTGTGTTGAAAAATACTAAACAAGTAACATCAACACCATGAATATAATTCATATTTACGTTTATACATATCACGAAGTGTTAAAGAATGTTATCTGGGTACAAGTATATCGTTTCTAACAAATCAACTTACCGATTTATACTTTCACTCGCTGGAGATGGACAAACTGGATACTCAAACGTTTGCGCCGTACTGTGGTTACATGGCTGAAGTACACTTCTCTGTGTTTACACTGTATAATCTGCAACGTCACGGGTTTATTGGATGAAGCAGAGTGTTGAGCTATCAGTAGGTTCGTATGTTGACAGGCTCAAGTGATTTCTGTACATGTACAGCATCGACAGCCATAAAACAACTTTCTGAATGATGTGAAATAGACTTGCGTTGAACATTCAAAATTCGTCAATGACAAGAAATATGTTCTGCTTTTTATGTTTTTGCATATGTACTTCCGTGGTTTTGTAGAAGTAGCATTCACAAAAAGTCTGTGTTAACTGAGGACGAAATACCAATTGTCAGTGGCGTAAATCCTGCTGGAAAATCATGTAGGAAGCAAAACTACACTAAGTCATTTGGATCCCCAGTAAGGTGGTCAAACTTTGGTTGTTAGTGGTTTATAGCTTCGTTTTAACTGATAGGAATGGACTTATTATCTTTCTATCTTAATTTTCATCAGGTTGGTTTTAGTGTGTTATACCAAACTATTTGATTGCCCTTTGTCGACAGATGTTGTACAATGAATACCTTGTTTTCATCGCTATATGGCTGTAATACTGCTGACGCGATGTAATATTTTAACTGACTCTGTCACATTTGTCAGTGGTTTCCTCATACTGACTTGACTCATGAAGACATGTCCATTCCACCTTTGTACTATATTCAAAATCTGTATAAAACTTCATACAGTGAGACAGATATGCTGTGACAAGCAAGTGGACAGCCAAATCCCTTAAAGGTTAACCATAATCCTTAATGTTTTCAAAGAGAAACTTTTAAGGGCCTATTCGATTATGCTAAACAGGTTTTGGTTTCTGGAAAACCATGCACTCGATTATGTCGAAACCTGTAGCTGTCGATCCTCTGAAACCATCTCCGAAACCATCTCCGAGGCAAGTTTCGCAGTTTCAGTTTCGCGTTCTTTCACAACACACAAGGCGTAAATGAAGTTCAGCTGATCTTGGTGGCAAAATAGAGCAGCCGTTTCTGTAACCAAAATAATATCAACTAAGAACTAGGAAAATATTATTTAAAACCCCAGTCTATTGAACATGACTATTCTATGTAACATATAATTACTTGTAACAGTATAATTACATATACGCCAATATTTACCTCCAAAAGCATATCATTTCTTTATTATTTGTTAATTCCCTGATAAAATGACAAAAAATATTACCTTCAATTCATTGCAGTCATTCAATTCGTTCCACATTTATTGTGCATCCATTTTGAAACCGGATGGTTAAACAATCCTCTCGTTTATAAAACTATAAACTATTTTCACTTTGAAACCATGTATCCGTAACTAGACACTAGTTTATAACAGGAGAATTTAGTTTCAGAAACCAAAACCATTTTTGCAATATTCGAACAGGCCCCTTAATGTTCACAAAAAGGTATATGGATCAAATGGAAAACAATTCAACCACCGATGGAACAGAATCAAAGTATGATACCCAAACCTCGTAGGAAATACATTTCCTGCACCCACGACTAACGAAAGGTACAATTACTAGCGCAAGTTAACGACCAAGACCCGGAAGTAAAATGTCTGCCCGAAACGAAACACGTGCTCCCCGTTACATTCTTCCCCCCTTAGATCAAAGTAATACTTTACTTTGTCCCGATAATTCTAAATCTAAATCCCCAGTAATACTGAAATAAATATACAAAGTAACTAAATATACAAAAACTCAACTATAAACAATATTTCTGTGGAAAACATAATAATTAACACAACCAGAGAGACACAATTACAATAAGAGTCCATCAGTTCAGTCAGTGTCGGAAGTTAGCAAATAGTTCATTTCCTCTATGAACTGCTCCTCCCGAGAACATCTCCGGTGTGGCCAGCATCTCCATTCCTCCTGCGCACGCTGTCGGGCTTGTACACGATCCGCTGGTAGAGTACCGGATGACTTCATCATTCCTGCCGGCCTGGGTGGGAGGACATCGCCGGGATCCCGGTATTCCCTGTTACCAGCGGCCTCCTGGTGGTATGCGGTACCGCTGGCATGGTTCCTCATATGCGATCTGATGTGTTGCCGCGTCTGGTATTTCTTCCCACATCCCTCACACTGGTATAGAGTCACTGTGTCCTTATGGTACCGGGCCCAGTGGTCCATATACTTGCCCCAGGTGAGGAAGTGGGCCGCTCCACAAGCAGGAACCGCACAGGTCAATCCTCCGGAAGGAAAGTCCTCTCGGATGTGGGACTGGAATTGTCGCAATTCCTCTGAATTTGCATAAATCTCCATACTGAACTAAAAAAATGAAAACAAAACTACAAAATAAACATCCACAGTGTCTGTACTACGGGGAATAAGGTTTTCGAGGTTTCACATTTCTCCCGCTCCTAGTCTGAAGTAACGGTTCAGATTCCTCTTCGGATTCACTAAGTATAGTTTCACTTTCAGCCAAATTGATATCTAATTCAGACCTATCTATCCAATTTTCAGGTGCATTTCTTCCCTCATAAGGCTTCAACTGATCCACATGTACATTTAGACTAGATGATTGACTATTTTTCTGTATTTTGTAGGTGAGGGGCGACAGCTTGTCAAGCACAAGATATGGTCCTGTCCACCCAAGACCAAGTTTTTTTCCAGCATTTGGAGGGTACCAGCGCCAGACCCACTGTCCTATTTCAAACTCTCTTGGTTTCAGATTAGTGTCATAATTGTTCTTTTGTGTTTTTGCTGATACCTTCAGATGTTCATTTGCAAAATCAAAATTCCTCTGTATGGATTTTCTCAACCACTCTACATACTCAACAGGACAACATTCCCGGACTGAATCTGGGGGATCGCCCACCATTAAGTCCAAAGGAACTTTGACCTCCCTTCCAAACATAAGCAGATTCGGAGTACAACTTGTACTACTATGAATACTAGCCCTGTATGCCATCAACAAAAACGGCAAGTGATCATCCCAGTCTAGAGGTTCTTGATGGACATAAATAGAAAGCATTTGTCTCAGTGTACGGTTAAAGCACTCTACGAATCCATCAGATTGAGGGTGATATGGAGTTGTACGGGATTTACTGACCCCCAAGAGTTGACAAACTCGTGCAAATAGATTAGATTGGAACTCACGCCCCTGATCAGTATGAATTTGCTGTGGACAACCATATCGACAAATCACTTCTGTCACCAGTTTGTCAGCTACTGTTAAAGCTGTATGATTGGGAATAGCAAAAATTTCCTTCCACTTTGTTTAGTAATCCCCTATCACTAAGATATATTCATTCCCTTGCCGAGTCACGGGTAAAGGACCTACAATATCAAGAGCAATGCATTCCATTGGACCTCGTACTGGTGTAAGGGAGACTTACTCTTTCCTGGACCAGCTTTACACCTAGCACAAAACTCACACTCCTGGCACCACCTTCTAATAGCATCAGTCATACCTGGCCTGTAGAATCTATGTTTCACTGCTGACAATGTTTTTGTCTCTACCAAAATGACCAGCAGTTTTACTCATGTGCAACTGCTCGAAAATGGTATCTCGAATTTCTTCCGGTGCAACTAATTGCAAAGTTTGCTCTC